TTGATGAGAAACGGAGTTTATTTGACGTGATTCAAACATCCGGTTGTGAAAATATAAGTTTTAAAAGTTTTCATGAAAATTTCATTCGATTTGGTATTCAATTCGTAGTTCTAGGTGTTATTTTGGCGATTTGATCGCGGGAGTAAGTTCGTATGATATTATAGGACTTGTGTTGCATATTTGTTTTGGAGCCTCGAGGGCGCGGGCGAGTTTCGAATAGGCTACGGGTGTTTTGAAACTTTGGAAAAGTCTGGTATTTCCAGTTCTGGTTTCCTTAATCGTGATCGCGTGGCTTTATCCGCGATCGCGAAGGCTTGTTGAGCACTGATGGAAATTTGTACTATGCGATCGCATAGTATTATACGCGATCGCATAGTTGGAGAAGCTAAGGCATCGCGAACGCGTGGGCAAAGCCGCATTCACGATGAAGGAATGAGGCAGAAGCTGAAGCACAAATTTTGTGCTATGCGATTGCACAAGGTAGTCCGCAATCGCAGAAGGCTGAGAAGTTGTACTTCGCGTTCGCGAGAGCACTGACACGTTCACGTAGAGCAAAAGCTGGGCAGCCTAAAAATGTGCTTCGCGATCGCGAAGCATTGTACGCGATCGCATAGGGTAAAAATATGGGCATACAGAACTTAAGTTTTGGAAATGGGATTTCGACCCATTTTCTACCATTTTCGATTTTGAGCTCGGGTAAGACGATTTTTGGGCGAGTTTTACGGGTAAATATTGGGGTAAGTGTTCTTTATCCTATATTGATTATATTTCATGATTCCATACTCATTTATATCATGAATCCGTGAATTTATGGAAGAAACATCAGATTTTTTATAAAATCTTCCGAAAATATAAAATGAAGATTTGAAAGCCAATCCGATGTCGGAATTCGATAATTTTTATATGGTTGAACTCGTATCGGAACGGGTATTCGGATTTCGTGAGTTTTTCTGGGATTCAAAATGTGGGTCCCACTGTCGAATATTAAAATGAATTTCGGATTTTATCCGAAAAATTAGTAAATTCATATTGAATTAATTCCTATGATTCGTATTGAGTATATCAAATTGTTTGTGAATAGATTTGAAGCTTTTGGAGACAAATTTAAAAGGAAAAGTTGTGGTCGAGTAATTGATTGAAATTGCAAAGCGAGGTAAGTGTCGTGGTTAACCTTGACTTGAGGGAATAGAACCCTTAAATTATTTGTTATGTGAAATGCATATGAACGATGTATAGGCGAGGTGATGAGTGTTTATACGTCATTAAATTAATTGTTTGCATAATTATTTAAAAATTCTAAATTTGTTTTAATAGATGAATTAATTATTATGATAATTGTTTCTCTCCTATTCTTTGTCAAATATTAATTCTTGAATTCCTGTAATAATTGCTACGTGCTGATTTGATTTATGTGCACTAATTGCCACTTGACATTTAGCATATTAAATAATAAACTGCCTAGTAATAGCATTCATCTAGTCGTCTGAAACCGTCCATGTTGTCTAAGAATTCGTGACCTTCCCTTCAAAACTTATGGATTTGTTGTATCTGAGTATAGCCGAAATAGGGTTTAGGATTTATTTCGATTTATTCCACTTGCCCCATTAAATAACAAATTTAATTTGTAATGCTATTCTCTTTATTTAACCGGTAATACATTGATAATTATTCGTATACTTTCCGGTAAGTTTTGCTAATAACTAAAAGTATTAAGCAAATGACTCCTAATACGTTTTAATATAGATTCGAAACAAAATAAGAAATGTGGATAAGGATATGTTCTGGTTTACTTATAAGAATTGTTGACAAAATAATACTCAAATCAAAATAATATACGAGCTTAATAAGTTTTGGCTTGTGAAGATAAAAGAACAAAGAAATGGAGGTGTTTAAAAAATAGTATTTGTTAAGAATCAAGTGAATATACACGTTAGAATCAATTATTTAAATAAACAAAAATGAATTCTTTATAATAATTATATTATGTTGAAGTCGTGGCAAAATAGATAAAAGAAAATGATTATCCATCCATATTATCCATTAAAAATGGGTTGGATAATGAACTTTTTAAAAATAGGTCAAATATGGATAATAACCACATTATCCACTTAGAAATAACTATTGTGTTTAACTTTTACATTTATAAAGTCTCAAATTGGGGTTTCTCAAGTTGGGGTCTAGGAATTCTCCCAAAAGTGATCATATTCAAAAAATCATGGATAATATGGATTCTATATTATTCACCGGTTAACCCATTTGTTATCTGTATTAAATATGTGTTGGATTAGTTAATTTATCCATTTTTGCATTACTCATTCTCGACCCGTCCCATATTCGACCCGCCCGTTTGCCACCCCTATTATGTTCTAAACAACGATCATGAATGTATTCCAGATCTATTTTCGTTGTGAATTGGACATAGATTCTTTATATTTTCTGAAATAAAATTTACATATTTAGAAACTACATAAAAAGTACTACTATAAATTACAAATTCAGATTATTTAAAAATATTTACAAAATATATGATCAAAGAAAAATCTTATTTGACTCTCCGAATAATTAAAAAAGTTCATTACTTTTTTAACGAGAGGGGGTATATACACTAGAGAGGTTACAACGACTCAGAAAATCTGCACAAATTACACGATACAAGAGTCAAAATATCCATACTGCCACAAATCAAAATTCTAGAAGGAGAAAAAAAAATAAAAAATCAGACACCTTCCTTGTTGGAATTAATACAAGATACCAAAAATCAATACTGAATCAGAATTTAACAAAAATATCATACACATCCCTCATTCAGACTCGACATATATATAGATACAAAAAATCAATTTTCTTCAATATACATTCCTAATTCCCTATGATATTTCATCAAATTTTACATCAAAAGCAGATACATATGGAGAATACACCAATCTGTTCAACATCTCAGAAAACAAGTTCATTCCAATTTCAAAAGACACAAAAGCATCAATACAAGCATACTCCACTTGTTCATACGACAATTCCTCAGTATCCCATTGACTCAACGTAACTTTCAACGGCTTCTCCATCACTTTACCAAGAACTTCATACGCCATTCTCTTCAATCCCATTCTCTTCAACCCCATTATTCCATACTCAGGCTCAAATTTACGTACAACCAATGCTAACTGGTACAAATCCACTGAATTCGCTACGAACAACCCGTGATCTTGGAACAATTTGTAAGCGTCGCCCTGAATACCAACACCAACGAACGTGAAGTTAGGGTTTGCGAGAAAAGCGCGGAGAGAATTCGGGATGTAATCTGCGTGAAGAAGTTGAAATAGAAGGCAACGACGGCCGACGCAGAGCTGAAGGAGCGCTATTTTGGAGTGGTTTTTATCAGTGGCGTTAATACAGGCGAGCCACTCAATGTCTAGACCAATAAGGAGCTTGTGTAGTCTACGCCGGTGAATGTGGATTGTTTGCCCAATCCACTTATCAACGTCGGCGGCTTTTTTTGTAACTGTTACTTTGATTTGGTTTTCATAGAAAGGAACACTAGTGCAGAATAACGTTCGGGAGATTATTTCGGCCATGGTTTGGAAGAGAGAAAACTGATATGGTGAAATTCTTTTGGATTGAAATTTTATTGTGAATTTGTATTATAGGAAGGAAAGATGCGGTATATAAATAGAGTTTGATACGAGTTTGCCTTTGTTGAGTAGGATTGGGAGAGAAGAGGAGCTTTTTTGTTCCTTAACTAGTTCTGTTTCGGTGAGCACCAAATAATGTAAATTTTTCTTATATTATTTTAATTATTATCTGCCCCCCCCCACAAGTACTAGTGCTTATCCTCTTACCACGGATGCTATTTTAAGTTATTTAATTAAAGTAGCTTCTTTACTTTTTGAATACAAGAATAATTTTTTGCGTGCAGATGTTAATGAAAAAATAAAATAATTATATCGGTTCCAATGTTACCTACTTTCATTTTGATGATTTATTCGAAGTAAGACAATTATCAGTAGGTAAATAGTGAAATCTATGATCGTTGTTTAGGGAATGTTAGATCAATAATTCTTACTATAAATCTTCTTCTGCTAACATGTTAGGCACTTTCGACATTTGAAATAAGATTTTATTTCAACCATAACGTCCAAATGTTTTCATTTTAATAAGCTTAAATTTTATTTGCAACAGGAATTGGTGGGAAGATGGCTATTATAATTTGAAATAGTTTAAAGAAAATATTAGTAACAAATATGATTTTTTTTTTCGTTCGTGAGCTGAAGATGTATCGGAAATAACCTTTTTATTTTCATAAAGTAGGAACAAAGCTGCGCACACGCTATTCTCATCAAACTCCACTTGTGAGATTATACTGAGTTTGTTATTGTTGTTGATATTTTTTCTATAATTTGAAAGTAAGTTTAGCCTTAACGAAAGACGACATAGACTTACTAGATGGAGTTGGGATTTGTTAGACAACTACATAAACTGGGCCAAGGAAAAAAAACAAAGAATTGAGCCAAATGACACAAGACTAGGAAATTGAAGATGTATGTGCTTCAATGGGTAATGACTATGTCTTTGACAAAATAAAACTAGGAAATTAAGAATTATGTAAATTGGATAGAATTGAGATAATAATTTAAGAAAAATATATTAATTTTCACATTTTGTTTAAAAGCAAAATTAAAAGAAAAGAGGGCATATTGTGGTCATGGACGGATTGAGTTATGACCTTTATTCGACCAATTTTGACCCAATTCATTTGATTCAAGTAAATTTTGAACGGATTAAATTAGTTTGGAAGTTGGAACAATCCATTTTACCTAATGACAAAAGAACCCCAAAAATAAATATAAAAAGAAAAAAAGAGAGGGACCAAATCTTAACACTCAAAAGGTTTGGGATGAAAAGAAGATCGTACAAGAAGCAAGCACAAATGAGGACCGTAGGATTAAAAAGATCAACGGTCAGAGATAACCAAGGGATACGCATTTTTCCTTCTTTTCCCAAAATCCCCTCATTTATTTTTTCAACCCCCAAATCCCCCTTTCTATTAACGCCGCTTCTACACTACCCTACCTCTCACATTCACAGCAAACCCTAGCCCGTCTCCAGATTCCGGTAAGTAGGGCTTAGCCTTTTCTCCGTTTTCTTCGAAAACCCACATTTAATCCGTTTATCAAATCAATTGGTGAATTTTTTGACTGTTAAATTCAGGTGGTCTTTCAGTTTTCTTCCTTGTTATTTACAGTATTTTGTTAATGTTGAAATACCCGTTTGTCTCTTTATGCTATTTTTACGCTGCCTTTAGCATTTTCCATAAAGTTGTATTTGATGGAATAGAGTTAAGTTAGGGTACTGAAAGTCAATCTGTGAAAAGTCTGCCAAGTCGGAAACAAGGTTGCCCTCCATATTTTTTTGAGCGTCTGTGTCTGTGTGTTTTGTTTAATAGCGGTGGTATCCGGGTCTGCCTGCACACACCTCAACTATTCCACCAGTATCAGCTACCTCGCATCAGCATGCGAAATGGGTAACCCACAAGGCTTTGTCACTTTTAGTAGAGAAAGGTTACTAGCCAATCTCAAATATTTTTTTTTTTTTGAAAAATGGTAAAGCAGTCCAACCTCAATTTTCAAACCAAACAGATTGATCTACCGCCTTTGTCTCAGTTCCCAAATATTCCCAGTGCCAATATAAATCTCATGTCCAACACCCTGAATTGCTAAGGTTTATGCTTGGGCTGTGGGCTACATAATGGTTGTGGAGCTGAGAGGAAGAAGAATTGGAAAAGCCTAAAAAATTCTCCCTCAAGAAGAATTGGAATTTTATGGATTTTATGTACATATGGAACTCATTAGGCTTTCTTACTAAATAAATGATTAGCTAGAATCTTCATATAGGAACGGAAACCTTTAAGATTCCTTTATATGCAGCTTCTATATGGATTAATCGCCTTTTTTCAATGATATCCCTTATCTATAAAAAGAAGGCCACTTATTGTACGAAACCACATCCTTAAGGTTGCAAAATTGATATTGGATATCTTTCCATAGACTCTTGAAGTGAATTATTTTTGTTGTAATTTGTTCTTGTCTGTGTTAGTAACAATGTTTTCCGGCTTTCCTTGTTCTGTTGGCTGTTGCCAAAACAGGGTGCCCTTTGATATGTCTAATAGGCAAGATTCAGATGTTGATGATGATTTCAGTGATCTTTACAAGGAATATACTGGCCCCGTTAGATCCAACACAACTAAGGCACAAGAGATAACAGTGACAAACAAAAGGTCTCATGCTGGTTCCGATGAGGAAGAGGACGCCCCCGACCCCAATGCTGTCCCGACGGACTTTACTAGCAGGGAAGCAAAGGTTTGGGAAGCTAAATCTAAAGCTACTGAGAGAAACTGGAAGAAAAGGAAGGAGGAAGAATTGATTTGTAAAATATGTGGAGAGTCAGGCCACTTTACCCAGGTACTGCTTTGTATTAGGGTTCTGATTAGTGTTCTTGTTACTACTATTTTGGGTGGCTGAGGAGGGAGAGAAATTTTAAGGATCACACGACTGATAACTGGAAATATCTACATTTAGTCAATCCATTCAATCTATAATTGCTCTAGTGGTGAGCACCCTCCACTTCCAACCAAGAGGTTGTGAGTTCGAGTCACCCCAAGAGCAAGGTGGGGAGTTCTTGGAGGGAGGGAGGCGAGGGTCTATTGGAAACAACCTCTCTACCCAAGGGTAGGGGTAAGGTCTGCGTACACATTACCCTCCCCAGACCCCACTAGTGAGATTATACTGGGTTGTTGTTGTATTCAATCTATAATATCCTTTGTTCCTCACCCTTTCTCTGTAGGATGTTGATGCATCTCTTTTCCTGAGAAAAATTGGTGAGAGAACTAGGTGGTATCTTTTGTTATCACAGTTTTGCTCCTTACTATATCTCCCTTCTTTTCTGATTAAAGGCAATCGATTTCATTTTACATTTCTGTCAAGTTAACCACAGTTATCAGATGTTTCTAGACCAAGAGCTCCTTTTGTTTGTAGATATACTGGGCCAGCTGGCTTAATGTAAACTGGCTCATTTTACTGTTCCCC